TACAGGATAATAACTATAGTTAACAATACTGTATTTACATTTGTAAGTTGCTAAACACAGTAGCTCTTACAAGTTCTCATCACAAGAAAAAAAATGTAATTATTCGTGGTGATGGATGTTAACTTATTGTAGCATTTTGTAATATAGCATATATATATATATATATCAAATTATTAAGTTGCACTCCTAAAATGAATACAATGTTGCATGTCATTTATATTCCAATTAAAAAAATAAAAATAAATACTACTATGGACAGATTAGAGATAATGTAATTTTTTACATTCTAATTCAAACCAACAAGTATCACTAATGAATACATTTATTAGCTCAACAAATTATGTTCCATCCCCAGCAGGGAAGAATATACTGGGAGACCCTCAAGGAGCTTGACCATCTACTAGCTGCAGAAAAGGCAATTAACCAATGGTTACCATAGTTACATTTCTGTATGATAAAGGAGGAACACAAACTAGTACCAGGGGCTTCGGAAAGAAGGTAGTAACACTTAATCTGAGTTCTAAAGGATACAGAGTTCAGACATTAAGGGGAGAGGTCTGGGTCCAGACCCCAAGAACTTGCATAGCCAACGACACAGAAGTAAAAACCTGGCAAAGGCTGTGAGCTTGATTTTCATCCTGGTGGAAAAGCAGGCTGCGAGTTTTCAGCTGGTGAGTGACAGATCATGCTTACATTCTAAAATCAAATAATCACTCGGGCTCCTGTGTAGAAAGCAGAATAGAAGCTGGCAAGAGGGCAAAGACTGCAGTTAATCTAGGAAAGAAATCACGGTAACAGGCACAAGAGAAGCGATGGAAAAGCTAGAGAGAAGTGACCCAATTCGGATCTTTAGGGGGTAAAATCAGCAGGACACAGTGATCAACTGGGTGTGGAGCCAAAAAAAAAAGTAAATCAGGAACAATGACAGCCTGGCAACTCAGAGCGCTGAGTGGTTGGTGAAATTATTCAATGAGGTTGAAAAACAGGAAGGAAAACAGGTGTGGGGGGAAGATAGTGCGCTCGGGTTTAGACCTATGGCATTTGAGGTACCTGTGCGACCCCCAAGTGGAGGTGCCCTGCAAGAGATGGGGCTGGTGCCCAGGAGCCAGGAGGAGCCTGGAGGTGGAGCCCCAAGGATGAGGAACACACAGGTGTCAACTGAAGCCAAGGGAGCACGTGGGACAGCTCACCGGGCGAACGGAAATGGGGACAAGAAAAGCTCAGGGCCCCGGACATTTTCAGAAGCCAAAAAATCTAAATATGATCAAATAATTTTCACCTTTATCCAGTATGCCCTTTTTGCTTACAATTAGATATGAAGCCAGCTTCACTACGGGACGCCCGGTATGTCCTCTGAGTCTGAAGCCTGGCACAGAGCTGTCCATGACATAAACAAAGGGCTGAGCTTTCTTCATGGTCACCCCTTTGGCTATGGTAGTCTAGAAACCAACTGATGAAATCACCCTGTTAAGGGCTTACTAGTGTGGGAGTCATCAAAAGTGAATCAAATCAACTAAGCATAAAATAGAAACCCAAAAATATGATTCACATTTTTAAAGAGGTCTATAATTACCAACATGAAAGAGCCTCTGTCTGATATAATAATACAGTGCTTTTCCAAAGCATACAAACTGCAATTTGATGCAGTATCCAGCTGCTTATTTTGTTCAAGCAATTAATTTAATTAGAAATGTGCATATTACGAATCAAATTAAATCTGGCAGAGGTGAAGTAATAATTGGTGAATTTACTTGAAATTGATTTACTTGCTATAAATATTGGAAATTTTAAGAATGCTTTTTTTATAAGAAAACTTAGCCTACTCCTCCCTTTTGATCTCATAATTTTCTGTGATGTGCTGACTATGTCAATATAGAAATAAGACTAGTCCCCATATATAACCCCTCTATTACAGTATATGACACCTCATATAAGGTACACACAGAGGAATACAAAGCTACTGATGAGAAAATATTTTGGCCAATATCAGAAACAGTATTGTACTCAGCAGTAAGTGCAGCCACATATGTGTACATGATCTATGAAGCACAGAGTAACAGTTTGGTGTGCATCCTCCACTCACAAAACAAACACGTAGATTACCTATGGAAAACAAAAGCAGGAATAGGGGAAGGAAGCCGGAGGAAGACTTTTACTTTTCACTCTGTATTCTTTTATGTTGTGTTGATTTTTCTAATGAAAATGTATCCTTGTGTTGCTTATGTTTAAAAATAAAACATGAAAAGCAATGGCAATGACACCATCCTTTGGGACACGAGGGTCATTATGCCCTATAATACCCCAGTAGCCTCTCATAAATAACTCGTGAATGGCAGGCACCGCACATCAAATGTTAAGCTAGTGAACCAAAGTTAAGACCCCCGAGGGTAAACATATTGTAGATTTTATGCTACAAATTCACATCCTCTGTATCAATTTCCATTCCAAGTGCTTTTGCTTCCTGTTCATTACTGTTCATAGTTCAGTCTGTCAGTTTAATTTTGTGCTGCTTTGTAGGTATCGACAATAATTACAATATTTAATGCTGTACCTTAAGGTGGAGTTAAACAAAGCAGTTTAAATGCATATGTTCTGGCCAGTCTGGGACGTCCATCCCACCTCTGCACACAGCCCCCATCCCCCACGCACATGTAAACATATGCACGAGCTGGTGTTATATATAGTATCTTTCATTGTACCAGGTGTTTTCATACTACCTGCTACAGTGTATCTGACGGTGACATTATTATTGATGCTACAGTAAACAGCTAATATAAGCGGTAAAAACGCATGCACTATAATGAATCAAAATGACACATCCACTGGCCACACTCCCTCTGCTCATTCTAATCAGATAATGGAGGGGTTTTTTTTCCCCTTGTACTGTCAGAGGAGGAAGTAGCATGGGGGAAAAAAAATCATAAAAACAGGGGAAAATAAAAGCATACGTTCAAGCCATTGAGAAGAGAAATTACGTTCATCTAAAAGATCTGTGTCAAGTAGCATGCTAATTTGTCGATTCTGTATGTAGTCTTCTTAACGTGATGCTCCCCAGAACAAGTAGCTCTGTTTCATATGAATAAAATAGCTAAAACATCACCAGAAAACAGTCTTTCTGGAATGTATCTTGTAGAAAAAGCATAGGCTTGTTTTCATTGTTTTCTTTTTGCTATTATTATTGCTAACGATCTTACATAAATCTGGTATCTTTCGAACTTTGACAGAATTTTTGTTTTACAAAATGAGGTAAAAAAATAATTAAATTATGTTTCACATTCCCTATTTGATTAGGAAAGTGTTACGTCTAACCTTCTATTTTTGTATTTTTTTGGTTTGTGTTCCTTGGGTATAGAGTGCATCCTTATTAAAAACTAACAAAATCCGGGGGGCAGGGACAAAGGAGAATACAATACAGAAAGGAAAACTACATGTAAGCAGAATGTAAGAGCAAAAATAAAATGTAGGGTTAGAAACTAAAGGTCTTAATTCTGACTACCTGGGTTCATTTCCCGAACGGCAGAGCCTAGTAACTACAGGGTGGTAGGCAAGTTGCTTCCCATCCTACACCTCAGTTCCCCCGTGAGCAAAGTGAGCACAGTGAGGGTGCCTAATCCTCTCCAGGTTTCTGTAAGAGTCAATGGAATAAAACAGTGCCCGGCACATAGTAGGTGTCTAAAAAATATTAGCTCTTAGTAGTACAGATTAGAACACTGAGGCCCAGAGACTTTGTTTTCTCTGGGACAACTTCACTAGCTAATAGCAGAAATGTCATTAAGTCTTGGGTCCTCTGACTGCTTTGTATGTTTTGGTTTCTTTCCTATTAAGATCACTTTATTTGTAGCGAGAAATTACTTTCAAGAGTGAAAATGAGATATCACCAAATCTCTCAGATAAGCATGGCCTAGATCCAACAGAAGGAAAAGACTTTGGGCACATACACACACGCACACGCACACACACACACACACACACACACACACACACACACACATGCAC